CAAAACCCGCCCGGCGCCGCCGCTCCCCGGATTCCGCCGCCGCTTCCCGGGGCCGGGGCCGAGGATGCTCCGGCTGCCGGCGGCGGCGGGGGGGCGGCGGGTGCGCGGCGGGGGCTGAACCGCGGCGGCAGCGAGCCCCGGCCTGCCCGGGACACTTGGCGGGGAGGAAGAAGAGGAGGAGGAGGAGGGAGGAGGAAGACGAAGAGGCCGCCTTCAGCCTCGGCCCCGCCATGCCGGGCCCCACCGGGGAGCGTGGCCCGGTGGCAGCGGCTCCCCGGGGGCTGTGAGCGGCCCGGGGCCGGCGGAAGGGGGGCCCCGGGAGGAGGTGGGGGAGCTCCGGGCGGAGGGGGAGCCCCGAGCGGCATGGCCAGCCCCGTCCCCCCCGCCGCCGCCGCTTCCACCGGGATTTAACCGGGGCTTGGATGCTTTCACCTCCCGTTTCCACTTCGGGAGGGCATGTGCGCGGGGGAAGCGGGCCGCCCCCAGCGGAGCCCCCCCGCGCCCTGACTCCACGGTGAGGGGCTCGGCCGCCAGCCCCGTCCCGCCGCCGGCCCCGGAGGACGGGGAGCGCCCGCCCGCCCCGGCCCCCCCTGGCCGGTGGGTACCGGGCGGGGGGCGGCGGGTACCGGCAACTTGTGTTTAGCGTCCGGCGGTACCAACTGGGGGGAGCCCCCCCTCTACCCGACGAGATTTGGGTTTAAACTTTGGGTTTTGGGGAGCCCCGAAGATGCCTTTCCACCCGGTGACGGCGGCGTTGATGTACCGGGGGATCTACACCGTCCCCAACATCCTCGCCGAGCAGCGCCCCGTGGAGATCCCGGAGGATGAGCTGGAGGGTGAGCGGGTTCGGGGGGCTGCGGGGGCTGCCTGGGGACCAGGGGGGATGAGGGGGACATCCCATGGGATTTTGGGGTGAGCAGGTTTGGGGGACCGGGAAGTCCATCCCGCGGGATGCGGCTGTGGGGGAGCCGGGGTGCGCGTTCCCCCGGCGCCGTGGGGAGCTGAGGGCGAGCGGGATGCGGATGGATGGAGAAGGAGGAGGAGAAGGAGGAGGGGAAGGAGGAAAGCTGAAGCGGGGAGGCGTGCGGGGGTCCCGGGCCCCCGGTTGTGGCAATATGACACAGCAGGGACCGGAGATAGTGGCGGGGGGCCGGTTCCCTCCGCGGCGCGGCGGGGTCACCCCCTCCCCGCTGTCATAATATGACAGTGGCTGGTGGCGCGGGGGACCCGAGGGGTGGCTCTCACCCGTGCCACCTCCCGGGTCACGGCAGCTCCACGCAGTCCCGGTGTCACCGGACTCCGGCCGGGAGGAGCGGCCGGCGGGGCTCTGCCCACCCGTGCGATGAGAGGGGCCGAGCTCAGCTCGCTGCCACCAGAATGGCTTTTTCCACCCCAAAAGTTTGCCGGGGCGGCAGGACTGGCACTGGCGGTGCCCGGCTTTGGGGTGTCCCTGGGGAACCCGGGGGAAAGGGGTGCAGCACCCCCGGCTCCAGACCCGCCACCAGGGGGGAAACTGAGCCACGGGGGGTGACCCCACACACGTCCCCACTCTGCCTGGGGAGAGCACCCTTGACCCAACACCAAACCTGGAGCCCTCAGCATCCCCGTGGGGAAACTGAGGCAGGGAGCCACAGGGCTGGGGGTGAGGGGAACCCCAAAATCCATTTGGGAGCCCCGAGCAGGCGCTCACACCAGTGTGCAAGGGGTGTGTGTGTGTGTGTGTGCAGCTCTGCAGGGTGTGCGTGTGCGCTGACGAGCCTGTCACAGCCTCACTGCAGGGGCTGTGTGTGTGCACAGGCATGGCACAGCATGGTACGGCATGGCATGGCATGGCACAGGCATGGCACACCCCCTTCACACCGTGCTGCGGGTGTGCTCACACATCTGCGTGCTCACACATCTGTATGCTCACACATCTGTATGCTCACACATCTGTATGCACATGCATGGCCTCGCTGCAGGGTGTCACTGTGTGTGTGGCTGTGCCAGTGCCAGTGTCACTGTGTGTGTGGCTGTGCCAGTCTCGGTGGCTGGGCCCGTGTTTGTGTCACTGCAGCACGTGTGTGTGCCATGCACAGCCTGGCTGCAGGAGGTGTTTGTGTGAGTGTGCACACGGGCAGCGTCACAGCAGGACGGGCTCGTACGCACAGCCCTGCTGCAGAGGGTGTCGGTGTGCCTGTGCACGAGCACAGCATCGCTGCAACGTGCTGGGGTCTGTGTGTGTGTGTGTGTGCAAACACCAGCACAGCTTTGCTGCAATGGGGCTGTGTCTGTGTGCATGCACAAGTGCAGCTGTGCACAGTGTTGGTGTGTCTGTGTGCACAAGTGCAGCACTGCTGTGATGTGGTTGTGCAGGTCCACGCGTGTGCACACGCGAGTGCAGCACCACTGCAAGGGTGTGTGTGTGTGCAGGCACAGGGATGTCACTGCAGGGGGGCCGTGTGTGCATCTGTGTGTGCACGCACACAAATGCAGCTGTGCCAGGTGTTGATGTGTGCACACACCAGTACAGCACCACTGCGTTGGGATTGTGCACGTCCGGGTATGCACAAGTGCAGCACCACTGCAAGGAAAATGCGTGTGTACATGCTGCCAGTGTCACTGTGTGTGTGGCTGTGCCAGTCTCGGTGGCTGGGCCCGTGTTTGTGTCACTGCAGCACGTGTGTGTGCCATGCACAGCCTGGCTGCAGGAGGTGTTTGTGTGAGTGTGCACACGGGCAGCGTCACAGCAGGACGGGCTCGTACGCACAGCCCTGCTGCAGAGGGTGTCGGTGTGCCTGTGCACGAGCACAGCATCGCTGCAACGTGCTGGGGTCTGTGTGTGTGTGTGTGTGCAAACACCAGTACAGCTTTGCTGCAATGGGGCTGTGTCTGTGTGCATGCACAAGTGCAGCTGTGCACAGTGTTGGTGTGTCTGTGTGCACAAGTGCAGCACTGCTGTGATGTGGTTGTGCAGGTCCACGCGTGTGCACACGCGAGTGCAGCACCACTGCAAGGGTGTGTGTGTGTGCAGGCACAGGGATGTCACTGCAGGGGGGCCGTGTGTGCATCTGTGTGTGCACGCACACAAATGCAGCTGTGCCAGGTGTTGATGTGTGCACACACCAGTACAGCACCACTGCGTTGGGATTGTGCACGTCCGGGTATGCACAAGTGCAGCACCACTGCAAGGAAAATGCGTGTGTACATGCACCAGTACCTCAGTTCAAGGTGTTTGTGTGTTTGTGCACTTGTACAGGTGCATCTGTGCGCTGTGTTGGGGTGTGCACACACAGGTACAGCATCACTGCGAGGTGTCGGGGCGTGCTGCATCCATGCACATGCACATCGCTGCACGGGGGCCGTGAGTGCATCTGTGTGTGTGTTCACACCACATTGCTCCAAGGTGCTGGGGTGTGTTTGCACACTCACACGTGTCACTGCAATGTCTGTGTGTGCACACACAGCTACAGTGTCACTGTGACATGTTCTGGCTGTGTCCCTGTGTGTCCACGCACAGTGTCTGTGCAAGGGGTGTGTGTGTGTCTGTGTGTGTGTGTGTCTCCGTGTGTCTGTGTGTGTGTGTGCGTCCGTGTGTGTGCGTCCGTGTGTGTGCGTCCGTGTGTGTGTGTCCGTGTGTGTGTCTGTGTGTGTGTCTGTGTGTGTCTCCATGTGTGTGTGTCCATGTGTGTGTGTCCTTGTGTGTGTCCGTGTGTGTGGGTGTGCTTGTGTGTGTCTCTGTCTGTGTGTGTCTGTGTCTGTGTGTCTGTGTCTCCGTGTGTGTCTGTGTGTCTGTCACTGTGTGTCTGTGTCTCCGTGTGTGTCTGTGTGTGTCTGTGTCTGTGTCTCCGTGTGTCTGTGTCTGTGTCTCCGTGTGTGTCTCCGTGTGTCTGTGTCTGTGTCTCCGTGTGTCTGTGTCTGTGTCTCCATGTGTGTCTGTGTGTCTGTGTGTGTGTGTGTGTGACTCTGTGTCTGTGTGTGCGCAGCTCCAGTGTCACTGCCAGGGTGTCACAGTGGTGTCTGCAGTGGGGTGTGTGTGAGTCCTGCAGCTGTTGGTGTGTGTCTGTGTGTGTCCCCGTGTGTGTATGCCCATGTGCGTGTCTGTGTCCATCTGTCTGTGTGTGTGTCCATGTGTCTGTCTGTCTGTGAGTCTGTGTGTGCTCACACCCCTCTGTGGTGTCCATGTGCCCACTCCCCATGTCCCTGGGCTGTTGTCCCAGTTCACCCAGTCCCCGGGGTCCCAGTGTTGTGTCCCCCCCTCCCTCAGCACGCACCTGTGGCAGTGGGGACTGATGGCAATGCTGGGAGGCCCATGGTGACCCCACAAGGTGCCAGACCCCCCTGGGCTCCCACCTCCTCCTGTCCCTCTGGTTTGGGGACACCGGTGACATCCTGACACAGCTTCACACTGGGGCTGAGCAGACCGAGGGCACAGCTGGGACAGGGGGTGCTCAGTGGGGAGCCAGGACCCCACTCTGGCCACTGTCAGGACATGTCCTTGCCTGTCCCCCAACACCCTGAGCCATCTGATGAGGAGCCACCTTGGAGTTCTTTGGGATGAGCATCCTTGAAGGATGAATTTTGGGGGTGTCTGGAGTGTAGTGAGGTCCCCCCAGGAGCACAGGGAGAAGCTGGAGGATGTCCCTGCTCATGCAGGGACACTGGCCATGGAGAAGGTCAGACTGAGGCCAAAATCCCACAAAACTCCCCAAAACGCCTTGGAGACATCAGTGATGTGACACCATCCAGGCTGGGATGTTCTCAAGCACTTGGGGTCAGTACTGTCACCCTATATGGGTTTTTTCCCCAAAAACCAAAGTTCACAGCCCATTTCTCCTGCTTGGATCCTCCAGCACGAATCCCCATGGCAGCCACATGGAGAAGGAAGAGGCACCAACATCCTGGCCTGGCTTCCCACTGGCCCCCAGCACAAATTCCCTGGTCCTTCTTTTCCATCAGCCCGGTTCCAGCTTTGCACATCAGGTGGCATCAAAAAGCCAGAAACTGCCCCAAAAAGGAGCAGAGTCCTGAGTGCACCAGGAGGTGGGGTAGAGTCAAGAGACTCCTGCTATGCCTCAGTTTCCCTGCAGCATCTCCCTGCCACCCTGCAGGGATCTTCCCCCACATCCCAGGGGTTCTTTTTGAGCCAGAAACCCCAAACCCCCCACTTCCATCCTCCTCTGCACTGGACAGGGCTGAACACTGCAGCAATTTCGTCAAGATTTGAGATTTTTTTTTTTGGGTGAAGTGTGGCACAGCTCCAGCACCCACCCCTGGAGCCCAGGATGGGGGCACAGACCCACCCTGACACCATGGGATGGGGCACAGTCCCACCCGTGATCCCGGGACCCCGGGATGGGGCCAGTGCCCAGCCCCCGCGGGTCCTCAGGGATGCTCCCGGCTGGATGCTGCGGCGCCGTGGGCGTGCCCCCCCGGCAGTGCCCACCTGGTGGCACCCCAAGCTCACACCCAGGGATGTGCTTTTAGGGCAGAATGCCGCGGTTTCGGCTGTGGCAGTAGCAAGGGCAGGGTGGGTGCGGCGAGCGGGTGACTGGAATTGGGGCAAACATTCGGGGTCTGTTGAGCAGCTGGGACCCTGCTGGGGAGGCTGGGGGCTCCGCGCTGGCCGGGGGGGCAGGGGGGATCCCACAGGGATTCCGTGGGGCTGGAGCAGGGAGCTCAGCCGGACCCATTCCTGCTCTCCCCACAGAGATCCGGGAAGCCTTCAAGGTGTTCGACCGCGATGGCAACGGGTTCATCTCCAAGCAGGAGCTGGGCACTGCCATGCGCTCCCTGGGGTACATGCCCAACGAGGTGGAGCTGGAGGTCATCATCCAGCGCCTCGACATGGACGGTAGGACCCCGGCAACCTGGGATGGGGACGGGGATGGGATCCCCAGCTGGGTGAAACAAATTTTTCCCATATTTCCACCCCACATGCTGGACACTACACGGGATGTGGGATGAGCCCGACCCAGGCTCTGCCTCCCCCTGGAGCCTCCTCCTCATCCATCATCATGATCGTCATTGCCACTGCAGCTTTGTTTGGGATGATTTAAGGATGCTGGATGTTTGTGGGATCGCTAAACCTGCTGGGATGAGGCTGGATCCTGCACCCAGGGTGCATCCTGTACCCTGGGTCGTGTCCCCAGCACCCAGCACCCATCACCCTCCAGCATTCGCTGCCACCGTGACCCTGTCCCCACCCCTGCCTCGCCCATAGGGACCTGAAAGAGCTCCTTAATTTATTGCTTTTCCTTTTTTCCTCCATTTAAAAGCCTTTCCGGCAGCACTGCCAAGGCGCTGCTCCCTTCATTACTCATCGTTAGTGCTGCCCTGACAGCCCCACATCAGTGTCCCCCGCTGCCAGGGGACACAGCCAGAACGGCCACCAAGCACCCCCAGGGTCACAGCCACCACCAGGGTCACAGGCACCACCAGGGTCCCTGCTGGAATTGGGGTCCCAGCTGGAATTCAGGGTCCAACTGCTGTTCAGAGTCCTGGACAGTGTTGGGCTTCCCCAACCAGTACTGGGGGCTCCAGGTGACACTGAGTGCCCCCAGTTCCTATTGGAAGGGGGCCCACATGGCACTGGGGGTCCCCAGATGTTGCTTGGGGTCCCCAGAAAACACTGGGGGGTCCCTACCTGGCAGTGAGAGTCCCAGCCAGCACTGGGGACCCCAGCCAATGTTGCCATCCCAGCTGGTGTTGGGGACACCAAACTATGTTGGAGGTCTCTACCCTGTGTTGGAGTCCCTGGTTGGTTTTGGGTGTCCTCAGCCAACATCTGCGGTCCCCAGTTAGCCCTGGAAGGCCTCCAGATGGCATTGAGGTCCCAGCTGGAACTGGGGTCCAGCTCAAGTTCATGTGCTGGATGATGTTTGGTTTCCCCAGGCAGCACTGGGGTCCCAGATGCTGGTCATCCTGGCCAAAGTTGGAAGTTCCCTAAATTCGCTGGAGGTTCCCAGATGGTCTTGAGATCCCCAAGTGGTTTTGGGGATCTGTGACCCCCATGGGGCCCCGTCTGGGAGGGGGAGTGTCCCATGTGCCCCATGGCCAGGCAGGGGGTGACAGCCAGCCCTGTGTCCTGCAGGTGATGGGCAGGTGGACTTTGAGGAGTTTGTGACATTGCTGGGGCCCAAGCTCTCCACCTCGGGCATCCCAGAGAAGTTCCACGGCACCGACTTCGACACAGTCTTCTGGAAGGTAGGGACATCCCCAGCCCCCTGGGAAGGTAGGGACATCCCCAGCCTCCTGGGGAGGTAGGGACATCCCCAGCCCCCTGCGAAGGTAGGGACACTCCTGTCCCCCAAGGGAAGGCAGGGACACCCCCATCCCCTCCTGGGCCATCACCTCAGAACCTGCACCAGGGAAGGCTCAGGGTCAGGGCCAAAGCAGGGGGTGGGATCAGGGATAGGATGAGGGTCAAGGCTGGAATTGGGGTTGGGCTGAGGGTGAAAGTCAGGCTCTGGTCAAGGACGAGGTTAGGGTTGGTTTAAGATTAGGATTAGGGTCAAGCTCAGGCTCAGGCTCCAGTTTAGGGTTAGTACAAACCTTAGGGTCAGGGTCAGCACTGGTTTAAGGGTCAGAGTTACGGCTAGGTTTAGGATTAGGGTTCAGCTTGGATTCAGGGTTAGGATGAGGGTTGGGATCAGGTTTAATGGTGGGGCCAGGGTCAGGATTGGGGTCAAGAACAGGTTCAGGGTCAGGACTGAGGTCAAGGTCAGGACTGGGGTCAGGGTCAGGATCAGGATGAGGTTCAGGATCAGTGTCAGGGTGCACCCCCTGAGCTCCTGCACCCCTGTCACAAACAGGCCACATTTGGTGCCAGCACCCTCTGTGCGCCCCTCGCTCTGCTGGGGGTCACCAGGACACCAGGCCTTTCCCAGATAATTCCAGGATGATCCACCCAAACCACCACATCCAAAGGTTCTGGGGGACCCCGGAGCCCCTGTGCTGCTGGCCATGGGGTCACCCTGAGTCCCCTGGTCCCTGCAGTGTGACATGCAGAAGCTGACGGTGGACGAGCTGAAGCGGCTGCTGTACGACACCTTCTGCGAGCACCTGTCCATGAAGGACATCGAGAACATCATCATGACGGAGGAGGAGAGCCACATGGGCACGGCCGAGGAGTGCCCCGTGGACGTGGAGAGTGAGTGCCGGGCAGCGGGAATGCCAAAAGCCGCGGGGATGCCAAACCCCCACGGGGATAGCACTGGTTACCTCTAGCACCAGGAGAGTGTATTTGGGATTGGGGTAACGCGCTGTTTGTCCCACCCCCAGCCTGCTCCAGCCAGCAGATCCGCCAGACCTGCGTGCGGAAGAGCCTCATCTGCGCCTTCGCCATCGCCTTCATCATCAGCGTGATGCTCATCGCCGCCAACCAGGTGCTGCGCAGCGGGATGAAGTAACGGGGCGCCCCCGCCGCCGGGGACCCGCAGCGACAGCGAGGAGGAGACGCCTATAAATATCTATAAATATCTCTATGTACATCCATCTGTGGCCCAGAGACGTGACCCCCCCGGGCGGGGGGCAGCCGAGGGGACAGAGCCGCGCCGGGGCCCCGCCGTGCCGGGCGCTGCCGTCGCTGCTGTTGGCAGAGCACGGAGACTTTGGTACCGACACCGACACACCGACCCCCCCTCGCCAGACAAAATCCGACCCGTGAGTGCATGTGACGTGCATGGAGCCCCGTGAGCCCCCTCCCCGCGCCGGGCCGGCGGCCCCTCCCGCGGCGGATCCCGTCGGATTCTCCGATCTAGCGTTAGAGCTCATATTTAGGATAAACCAAATCATCCCCTAAGCAATACACGCGCCTGAGATGGTTCCTAGAGCCGGGAGCGTTTGCATGGACTTGGCTGCCAAGGGCTGGATTCCACCTCCCCAAAGCCCCTCCCTGTCCCCGTGCCGTGCCTCGGTTTCCCCACCTGCCCGGTGCGGGGACATTCCTGACCTCCTGCTTGATGCACTTTGAGCCGACCCCCCTTGGGAAGAGCCGGAGCGACCCCGAGGCCGGGGAGCCCCGCACGCCCCAGAACCCCCCAGCCTGTATGTAGCACCCACCTGGGCACGGACTGGTTCGGATTTGGGGCCGTTTCTCATTCTTTGGAGTTTTTGGGGTTTTTGGGGTGGTGATTTTGGTTTTTTTTGTTTCTGTTTCTGTTTTGGTTTTTTTTTTTTTTGTTTTTTTTTTTTTTTTTTTTTTGTGGTTTTTTTTTTTTTTTTTTGTTCTTCCTGGTTGGTTGTTTCCGATCTGAAATAAAACTGGGATTTCTGAAGTGTTCTGGGCTCTGGGGGCTCCTGGAGATGCTGGGGTGGAAGGTGATGGGGTGGGGCCCTGGGAGCACCTGTGGGTGCTGCTGAGTCCTCCTGGCACGGGAGGTGGGCACTGGTTTGGGGAGCTGTGACCCCCAGACTCTGGGGGCTGGAGCATACCTAAACTCTGGGGCAGTGGGACCTGACTCCTTCCCAGCAGCTCCCACGTCCCTCACCCCACTCCAGCCATGGATCCTGCTATAGGTCCTGCCTCTTCCCATGGATCCCAGTGGTTTTATCCCCCTCTCCACATCTCGTGCCCTGATATTTCATGTTTGGTTTGATGAATGTTTCGCTCCCCTTTGCTTCAACGGGGAGGGTGCTCAGCCCAAGCCCCTTCACAGAAGTGCTTTCACCTGGATTAACAGTAATTCCAGCAGGAACCAGGATCTGTCTGGGGCACTCAGAGAGGCTCCACAGGGTCATAATTCCTGGGCAAAGGTGGGGATCCTGCCCCAAGGCTGGTGGCGGGAAGCACCCTGTTACTCCTGATTTACACCACTGGGGCCTGGCCCCGTGTGAGCCCCCCGGGCTGAGGAACATGGGGAATCTCACAGCCTCACGAGTGTGTGCTGTGGGAGCCCATTCCCACCTAATGGATTCCCCTCCCGAAGCCCCCAGCGATGCATTTTTAATGGCAAAGAGATTAAAGGGATAAATATAAACAGGGAAAGTGCTTGGGGCTGGGAGAGAATCGGGCAAAGCTGCTGCTCTCCCATTACGGGGCACTTCCCACTGCGAACGGGGCTGGAGGAGCTCATCCCAGGACACTGGGACTGGGACATCCCCACCTTCACCTCCCCGGTGCTCCCATGGGAAAACTCATTTCCTTGCACCAGCATGGGAATTCCCACCTTGCAGCACCACGGGGGGGGGACAACCCATTTTTGGGATGCCAGGAGGAACTGGTGGTGTTTTATTGATTTGGGGTTTGGGTGGGGCCTTTTTTTGATCTTCTCTAATTTATCAAACAAATTGAAGCAAACGTCCAAATGAGAAATGGAAATGGGAAGTGCTCCACGGCAATGAAATCACTCCGGCTGCCTCGCAAAGTGAGGGAGGCTCCGCATCCGTAATGAAATTTCATCCATCTCCCGCAGAAAGTTTGGATTTTTTATGGACTGGCATTTCCAAAGGAGCCACGTGGCCTCGGAGACATGTGTGTATATATCTATATTTTTTTTAAAAATTTTTAACCAGATCTATTATAGACACTGTGAATAAACATAAGAAGAGAAGAAGAAAAAAAAGGACAATTTAATTTGCCAGAAAATACAATAATGTAAAAGAAAAAATTAGATAAAAGGAATAACGCCATCCTCCAAGCTCAGCGTTTCAAAGCTGCTCAATTAATTTTAATGGGAATCGGCAGAACGGATTTCTTGGGGCAGGTTTGGAATGGCAGCTCCCGATCCCGGAGCAGGCGGGATGCCGGAGCGGGGTCCCAGCCGCGGCCCTGCTCTGCCGCAGAGGCGACGGATCACTGCGGCTGCTGCAACAGAGATGCTCCGGGATAATTCAATTAAGGGACCGCCAGGAAAGGCAAAAACAAAGGGAATGTGCCGGGAGGTGGGGGCTGCCGCGGGCGAGGGGAGGTGGGAGGGAGCAGGACCCTGCATGGGTTCCCTGGACGTGGGAGCAACGGAGCAAAAGCGGCAGCAACCCCAGTGAAAAGGGCTGCAATTCCATAGCTCTGGGAAGTGTTTGGAATAGGAAGGGAAGAAGTTGGTAATGGTTGTTTCTCTCTCTTGTGCTGCAAGAAGTGTGGGATGGGCTCAGCTCCACCCCTGTCTTGGTCCCATTCCCATCCCTGTCCTTGTCCCAGTATCTGTCTCCATCCCCAACGCCATCCACAGTCCCACTCCCATCCTTATTTCCATTCCTCACTCTGTCTATTTCTCCTCTTCCCATCCCCCCTGCTGTCCCATCCTCATCCCATCTCTTCCTCATCCCTGTCCCATCTTCATCCCTGACTGCTCCCCATCCCCATTCCCATTCTTATTTCCATCCCTGCCCTCTGCCCTCCCTCAATCCCCATCCTTGACCCTATCTCTACCCCCATTCCAAACCTTTTGTCCATGCCTCTCTCTGTCCTCACCTCAGTCCACGTGCTGTCCCCATTCCCACTCCTGTTCCTGTCCCCCCTCTCTCCCAGCAAGAGCTGCCAGAGGACACGGGCAGAGCCCAGCGGGGCTGCGCTTGGCAGGGGCCCAGCAGCCGCTCATTTCCCTAAAAGCTTCCCGATAAATTACTCCAGCTCTTGCTCCAGCAAAGGCACTTTGGCTTGGGCTTCACTATTGGGCAGCAGCTCCTCACCCCCACCCTGGGGACAGTGAGTCCATCCCTGCAGCACCTCTTAGGATCGGGTATCAGCCATCCCTGTGGGAAGGAGCCACAGCCCTGTCCTGTTTTGGAGTCCTCCTCCCACAGGCTTTTCCATGGATGAGCCCACAGCAGCTGTGTCCCACACTGGTGATCCATGGCATTGTCACCTCCTGCCACTGCTGTAACACACACCCCATACACCCTGCACTTCCCAGCCTACTCCCCGCCAGGAGTTACACAGCTCCATGAATCCATAACATCCTGTAGGTGATGCCAGGCTCGGCCCCGTCGGCCACACACCCTGCAGTTTTTGTGGGAAAACCCCAACTTTAATGAATCCCCCTTGACAGCCCCTCTCACATCCCCCTGGACAGGCTGGAGCTCAGCAGGGAATGCTCCTGCTCTTGCCTTTCAGCCTTTATTGGGAATTTCTGCTTCCAGGGCAGCTCAACTCCTTGGGAGCAAGGAAGAGCACGGAAAGGCTGTGGCTGTTGTGTTTCACACTGGAATTTTGATTTACAGTTGGGTTCCAGAGCTTGCCCAGAGAACTCTATCTAATTTAAACTGGATTTGGTGAGCCCTGAAGTTTGGAAGTGTTGGATTAAACAACCTCTCCTGGATCAGCTGGAACACACACCAGGACCGGAGCACATGGAGCAGGGACAGACCTGGGGGCTGATCAAAGCACTGCTCCAATCAATGCGAGGAACAGGGAAGGATTTGGATGTTGACTGGGGAAAAAATCCATGGAAGGGACTGGAGAGGGAGTTCCTTCATCTGTTGGTACTGGTGGCCTCGGAAGGTGTCCAGGAGCATGTCCTGGCTGCCACCAGCAGAGCAGCCACTGTCCCCCACAATCAGTGAAGCCTCTCAACATTTCCCAGACTCTTCCTCTGTGCCAGGCTGGGGCACAGGGATGCACATGCAAGCTTGGAGAGAGCAGGCCCAGATCCCACTCTGGAGCATCCCACAGTCCCTGGGGAGTCCCCACTTCCCATTTCCTTGGGGGCAGGGTTCCCTTGCTCCAGGGACTCCCACCCATTCCCAAAGAGGAGCCACCTGGGTGCCCTTATTAATCCACCTGTCCTGCAGGTGGAAGTGAGGACAGGACACGAGGCTGATCCTGCATCCTCTGAGCCCAAGCCCTGTGCTCCTGCTCTTCAGCAAGCCCAGGCTCCTGCCTGGAAGGATAAAAACATTCTCTAGTCCGACCTAGAACTCACCCAGGCTGCAGCCAAGGCTGCTTCCAGGCTGCGTCACATCCAGTCCCTGCTCCTGTCAGAGCCACGTCCCAGGAAAGTGCTGACGCTCCTGTGACAATTTGCCATCACATCCCGAAATGTGATCCCTGCCCTGCTGGAACAATCCAGGCAGGATTTGGCCACAGGCAGCTGGCTCCTGCCTGTGCTCTTCATGAATCTGGACCCACCACCTCCCTGCCCAGCCAAACCTGGAATGCTCTGGCAGTGGGCACAGCCCTCCTGGACAAACCCGCTGCCAGAGCTGCCTCCCAGGATGCTGCTGGACAGGATCCCCCCTTGGAGCTGCAGCACCCTGCTCCCTTCCTGAGACAGCCAAGGGCCTCCCTCACCCCATGCTTTACCAGCAAGGAGAGATTAATCAAATTCTCACTGTGGAGAAACCTTGGGATATTTCCCCTCCTTCCCTCTGCCTCCAGCACAGCAGGAGCAGACTGAGGGAAGCTCCCCAGGCTCTCCCCTGGGAACTCCAGCACCTGGACCAGGGTGTGGCAGGGTCACACCCTGAATTTATCAGGAACAAACACGGCACCAACACCCGAGGAAATGAACCAGCTGAGGGAAGCTCCCCAGGCTCTCCACTGGGAGCTCCAGCTGGACCAGGGTGTGGCAGGGTCACACCCTGAATTTATCAGGAACAAACACGGCACCAACACCCGAGGAAATGAACCATCAGTTCTAAAAGCCTGGGTCCTTCTCCAGCCTGGATCACAGAGCCCAGCACGGAGCTGGAGTGAGAGCAGGCAGGGCAGGCAGCAGTGAGCTGAGGGGATGGATCCCACCCAGGAAATGGGGAATGTCGGCTCCAGGTGACAACAGACAGCCCCTGTGCAGGGCTGGAGCTGTGCTGAGCACAGATCCCTGTTCCAGAGGCAGGGAGAGAGCCAGGGGAGGGCTCAGCCCACCAGAGGCTGCTGGGCCAGCAGGAACACCACACAGAGGCTGCAACAGGCAGGAGGAGCGTTTATTGAAATAAAAGTGTGTATAAATAATCCTGTCCCTTTCCCAGAGAAGAGACAGCCAGTCCCAGCCAGGCTCTGGGGGTGCCTCAGCCCCACTGCAGGTTGGGGGGCACTGGCCACCCCCCAGGTGGGGGGGCCTGCAGGGACGGGGGCAGCTCCTGCACTGGTGGCCAACCCAGAGGGTACTGGAATGGTGCTGGTTTCTCAAGAAGAGCACTGTGAGGAGAGATGGAAAGGGATGAGGTGAGAAGCAGTGTGTCTGTCTGACACCAAGGCCATGCTGGGGGCTGGGCTTCCCTGTGCCCCCTCCAGTAGCCCCCAGAGAGACAGGGCCAGCAGAGGAGGGTGGTGGTTATCACCAAATGGGTTCATTCACTCCCCCCCATTCCAAATGCAGGACCAGAACAGTTGTGTGACCATTCCCAGCATATCCAAGCAGCCTAACACAGTCTGTGCCTGTGAAAACTCCTAAAGGAACACTGAGGTGAGGGGGTCTGGGCTGGGGAGAGCAGCACAGCCCCCTGAGAGGGGCTCAGCAGGCACAGCTGCCAGGTGCTGGGAGCAGGGCTGGTCCCAGCCCCTCCACCCCCACTCCTCACACAGCTGAGCTGGAAGAACAAACAAAAGCAGCAGATGTTTCTTTCCGAGCAGCCCAAATCCCAAGCCAGCTGTGCACTTCCCAAAGGACAAGGACCCCTCGGAAACGGAGGAGCTGCCAAACCAGTGGGGTGTGTGCACCAGAGGACCTTTCAGCAGAGGCAAGAGGCTTCTCCCTCACACCACGGCCTGGGAATCACTCTTCAGTCCCTGCCCCTCTCCTCAGCTTTACTGGTCACGGCTGCTGCAAACACCACTGGGATGAAGAAGTGCAGAAGCAAGAACCATCTCTCCCTTGCCTCCAGCTTGACCGGGGCATGTTTAAATTTATGGGAAACATACCTTTTCCATGAATTCCCAAGCACAGGAAGCTCATTTGTTCTCTCACACAAGCCCTGACAAGCAGCCTTGCAGCTTCTCAGGCCTCTGCCTCCGATCCTGATGAATCTTTTTAATTGTTATGCCAGAAGAAATCTAATCAAACTCCTTTACATAACCCCGGGGAGAAGCAGCACCCTCCTCTCCCTGCGGGGCCGTGGCCCAGAGCCAACTACAGGAGTAGTTTTCCAGGAGCATTTTCCAGGCAACTGACACAGAGCAAAGTCACTTGGCTCAAGGTTTATCCCCTCAGTGGGGATTCTCCAGAGCCCAGGACGAGGCAGGACCATGGGGACACACACCAGCCCCTCTGGGCAGGGATATTTGGTGTCATCCCTGCAGCACTGTGGCTCAGGCACACGGCAGATATGGAGCAGAGGGAATGCTGCAAGGTTGAGCCATCACCTAATGAGCATTTCCTGAGCAGTAGGACTGATCAATAGACAGGATGCTGCCTGGGTACTCAGTTCCCTGGGGTCTCATGAGCTACAAGTGCTCTATCAAAGGTTTACCTACAGCTGGAGCATTTTCAATGGCTGTCCCACAGGGATTCTCCAGTGGCCAGCAAGGTCAAGAATATTTCCTTCTGTTAATGGGATTACCCTCCTCTACCCACTTCCACACTCATGGAACTTGTGGCATCTCAGAAACTTTGAGGCCTTAGACCCTTTTCTGATGGAAATCCATGTTCTGTGTTTCCTTTGGAAATTGGTAAAAATCAATCCCATGAAATGTGGGGCTGGAGGGCACAAGGGAGCACAGAGATGATTGGGAGAGGCATTGGAAAGGCTGGAGAGAGGAAGGGAAGTTCCAATAGTTGTTGCTTAATTCCTGTAGCAGATGGTTTCTGAGCCTGCAGGGACAGGGAGACTGGAAAAAGAGCGACAATCCTGGAAATTTGTTTTGGGCACCTATGGAGGCAGCATGGACCAAGTTCTGAAGGTCTGAACATTCCTCTGGGTATGATCAAGTAGTTCTGAAGGTCTGGAAAATCCTCTGGGAATAGTGATGGCTATCTTAAGAGCTGATCTACCCCATGTTCCAGGGATTCACAGGCAGGACAAATAAAATGGGGCAAGTGAAGTGCAGGGGACAGGAATGTGAGCACTTCTGCAAGGCCAAGGGCAGCGGAGCTGAGGGACAGAACAATCCCAGAGCAACAAGCTCAGACAAGCACAAGAAGGAAGCTCCTGCCCAGTCCAAACACGGAGAGGACAGGAACAAACACAAAAAGAACAGAAGAGAGATTTGGCACCTGCCCAAATGTCATCCCATTAAGCCTGCGGCACAGTCAGGTGAGCGAGGAAACAGCCGGTGCCCCAATCCGAATGGATCCTGGGAGGAGGAGCCAATTCCACCCTCCCTGGCAGGCAGGGGATGGGGGAGCTGTCAACAGATGAAAGCAGGCTCCTGACACTGAACCCCAGGAGTTAATGAGCCAGCACAGCAGCGGCTCTGTCCTTCCAGAGAGCAAGGGCAGCCTCTGCTGTGGCTTGTTCCCAAAGGGCGTCCCCTGGCAAAAGGGAACACCTGTGCAGACATGGCTGGTGGGACAGGCAGGGCTGCATCCACACACATGTGCCTCACGAGTGCTGCCTGGGGGTGTTGGAACCTCTGATGCCCTGCACCCTCCCCTAACCCAGCCCTCCTGTGGGATCCCCCTCTGCATCTACAGCTGGATGATCCCCAGTACCCAGTACCTGCTACTCTGAGCTGCACTCAGCCTCTGGGCTCTCTTGTCCAGCCAGTCCTCGATGGCGCCCGGTGGGATATCTGCTCCCTCCCTCTGCAGCTCCTTCAGCCTCTTCTCCCCTGCTTGAGAGAAAGATTGAGATCAGAGAGGGCTGAATCAGAGGGAGGGCCATGAGAGAAAGGGCCACCAGACCCTTGTCCTTTCACTCCATTAAACCTGCAGCTCATTATCCTGCACAGTTTCACAGGGTGGAGAGTGTGCACCATGCCTGGACAGCCCCTCCTCCTCCTCCTGTGCCCTCCTGCCATCTGATGCTTGGTGACAGCTGCAGCCAGGCAGAGCAGGGGACAAGAGCTAAGCCAGCACGGTGGCAGTTTGGGCACTGAGGGGAGTCTGATATCTCCCCCCGAGGCAGATCACCCTCATCCTCGCCTGGAACAGCCTCGGCTGGCCCTGAGCTGTTTCCAGAGTTGTGTCCCTCCAACTGGCAGCAGCAACTGTGCCACCCCTGCCCTGTTAGGTGGAAATGACAGGGACAGTGCCCGGATCGATGCAGCCTTGGCAGTCCGGGAGAGTCTGAACAGTTCCGGGTGCGTGTTCCAGCCAGCAGGCAGATCCCAGAGCTGCTGTCAGGGCTGCTTAAGGAGCTCCCTGCCTGACGTGTCCCCAAGCCCTGCACAGCCCAGACAGAGCTGTCACCAGCTCAGGGGCAGAACCTGGGCAGAGAGAACCAGGGGGACAAGTTCTTGTATTTACAACCATGGAATGGTTTGGTTGGAAGTCACCTAAAAGCTCATCCTGTCCCACTCCCTGCCACAATCAGGGACACCTTGCACTAGCCCAGGGTGCTCCAAGCCCTCTCCAACCGACCTTGGACACTTCCAGGGATCCAGGGGCAGCCACAGCTTCTCTGGGCACCCTGTGCCAGGACCTCACCCCTTCAGAGGGAAGGATTTCTTCCATAAATCACAGAATTACAGAATCAATCATGTTCAAGAGAGATCATTGAATCCAACCTATACCTAACCTAAATGTCCCCTCTTTCAGTTTGAGCCCATTACTCCTTGTTCTATTTCTCATGGTGATTAGGAACAAGGAAGGAAACCAGAAAGAAACCTCTGCTGTTTACTGAATCAAGATTTCAACCCCTCCAATCACTCTGGAAGGGCTGTGTGGGCAGATGCCCACAGGCACCCCCTGGGGAGAACGGCACAGAGCCAGCATGGCACAAACCCACAGCTGCCCAGTTAGCAAAGCTCCCCAGTCCCCCTCAGCTGCAGGGAGGGAGCTGGTGCTGAACAGGTCTAGCAAGAGTCCTGACACAGCCAAACTCCTGCCAACACATCAGGGATGAGGACACACTCCCATGATCCCAGCTCCAGCCTGGTGGAAACTTCCCACCTAACAGAACAGGGAACCCAGAAAACCAAATACTGGTGACAATAAAAAGGAAGCAGAGGCAGCTGTCATTCTCTTAGCCCTGCTCATCCATCCTTCTGAGGGATCCCTGATCCCATTTAGGGATCAAGGCACCTGCAGCCATGCCCCTCAGGAGGCTGCTCCACACCCACCCACCATATGTCACATGTTTTAAGGAAAATATTATACCTTTGCAGACAGAGTGTGAAATTAATAGTGCTTGGGCAGAGTGAAGGATCACTTCATCCTGCTGGTGGCAACCAATTATTCATCTGCCTGTTGAATACTAAATCAGGATGGAAGGGATGTGCTACACAATGAGCAGCCAGATGGATAATTTGTCATCCAGCCTTTTCAGCTGCTGCTGCTGGGCGGGGTGACGATGTGCCCAGTGCCACCACAGAAAGCCCGCTGTGGTCCGGCTGCTGCTCTGAGCCCGCCGAGAAGGCTGGAGACAGCAATGTTCCAGTCTCCCACAGTTGTTCCCAAGGATCAAAGCCCCAGCAGAGCTACCTGGGATCAACCCAACCAGCTGGTCAGGTGGGCAGATGGGGAGGCAAGAAGCTCAGCCTGGAGAGCTGGGCACTGCCCACACTCAGGGTTAGACTCGTCTGGCAGCCTTGAGCACCTTATTTCCCTTTGTTCCATCTTCCACCTCCTGAACACATCCCACCTCAGCAGGGGAACAGACAAGCAGTGTCTATGAGAAGCTTCAATGAGGCAGGGAAGAAAATCATGGAGAATCTCTCCCACCCCTGCATCACTGTGATTTCTTCTTCATCCAACTCCCAGCCTCAGCAGAGAACAGAGCATAAACAGTCCAAGCCTATTTGTTCAGAGCAGGGAGCCTCAAGGTACCACTCCAGGGATGGAATAGCCACAACACATGGTCCAAGCCAGAGAAGTTCACTGGATGCTGTGGAACCACTCTGGATTCACACTGCCCCAAATGAGGCTGCAGATATCCACATTAGCAAAACATAAAACTGCCTCCCTGCTCTCACACCTCCAGGAGCTGCTGCTCCAGAGCAGTCCAAACCTCAGGCTTAGAAATATGGCAGCAGGGACAGGCAGCTCTCCAGCTCTACCCACCTTGATCATGTCCATGTCCCTCTGGAGCACACACATCCCATCCAGGGACTACCAAATGCACTCTGAAATTGGAAATACTCCCTGAATGCCAACAGCTATTCCAAGAAGCAGCTCTGAAAGGCCTTTATTAGCCCTTGCTCCCCACATGTGCCCGTGCAGCTGGACAGGTGTGAAGGTGCTTTCCCCCTCCTTCTCCTCACGGTGGTGTTTGCTTCCAAGTCTAATTACAGCCAATTGAAAGACCATCTGTAGTTGTGAAGTGCCTCTAATGATGCCAGAGCAGGGTCCACATTTATCTCCTCTCCTCATGAGTTTTATTCTTGACAAAGGCACTGCTGTGTGAGAGATGGAACCTGCCAATACGTGCTGGGGGGGTCACCCAGCAAGGCAATGCACAGGAAATCCCTCAGCTCCCACCCAGCAAAGAGATGCACATGAAATCCCTCAGCTGCCTCCCTGGTGGATGGTGTGGAACCCCAACTCCTCCAGAGCAAAAGACCAGCACCAGAGCATGGCTGAGATGAGGCTGAGGAGCCCCTGCAACTGGAGAAGGCAAACAAGCGACCGCGCTGCAGCCCAGTGTGAGCGCTCCTCCTGCTCCCCACCCAGTCAAACCAGTGCACCCCAGCAGGGCCCTCAGACCCTTGCAACCCCATGGACATCCTGCAAACACTCCCCAGCTTGCCCTCCTCTGGCAGCCCTGCCTGGCTGGAGCCACCAGAGCCCAGCCAGGTCGATCCTGCCTGCACAGGGACACGGATTAGCGGGGAGCCAATAACTCTGAGCAAGGAGATGGCAATTTGACAGTGACTTTTCCTGACATGACTATACTTAAAATGACAGCCTGCAAGTGTCTGGCTGATGAATGATGCAGCAGATGCAGAAGGCTAATGCTTTGATGGGGGAACAGCTGGGAATATGAGCTCCCTCCCTGCTGAAGGTGTAAACTGTTGCTTCTTGATGAGGATATTCTACAGGGTGCAGAGATGCTGACGCCAAAGTAGGCCAGGCTTCAAGCTGTTCTAGAACACGGAATCATCCAGAAATTTTCCTACTTAACCCACAAAACTTACACAAACTACAGGGTGAACTCCCAGCATTAAAAGGGCCAAATGTTAAGGGTACTGTCACATTTCCTTTGGCTGTGATAAAAATACTTCATTATCAAGGTGAGTTCATAGACACAGAGCTACCAATGCCAAATACTCACAGGGACTCAGGGACAGGTTCAATATTTACATGATAGAAAAAGTGTCATCACGATTTAGATGGGTTAAAAAAAAAATTCAGACAAGGCTTTGCCTACACAAAAGCTGAGGAAAGGGGGGTTAAGCAGCACTGGGCCCACCAGAAAAGTGCCTCCCACCAGCCTGGCTGCCCCCAGCATGGTCCCCCCAAGGCTTGGGAAAGCTCTGGAGCTTCCAGCCTCTCAGCTTATCTCAAATCCCTGATGATCTCTGACTGCCAAAATCTCCCAGCTTGGTCAGTGAGAGGCAGCTGGTCCAGATTGCTCCAATCCCGCTGGCTGTGGCTTGGGATGGCTCATGGCTCAGAGACCCTGAGTGGGAATGCATGTGGGATATCACTGATGGAGGATCCTGTATGAATTACACACCCTGCCACTGAAAGCTTGCCCTTAACTCTGCCCTCCTCAGCCCCAGCACCTGGGACAAGGGTGCTTTGGCAGCTGAAGGGTGACTGCTGGGATGTCCCCATGACTCACCAGACAGTGTCTGATCCTTCCATCCTGTCTATTACAGGCTGTCCCTCTCCTCCACCAATCCTGCTGAGCCTTTCTCCACACCAAATCCCTCCAAACTCTCTGATCAAAGCTGGAGTCTGTGTGATGCATGAAACCACACCATGAGAGAGCTGAGCAGGATTGAACTCTCCTACCAAGCACCCCTGTCCCCTGGCCATCGCTCCTTCAGGGCTAATTGGCAAATGAAATGTTTGACTCTGGAACACAAATGCAAGGTTTCCCAGTAATCTCCCTGGAATTGGCTCTCGGCAGCCAATCCTGCACTTACACCGACCCATTTGACACAAGTCAATACTCAATAACAAGTGTAATTGGCAAGGAAAGCTGCCTGAGCGCAGAGGAGCTGCCAGCCCTCCCTGGGCTGCTCCAGAGAGCTCCCACTTCTCCTGCAGGAACAGCCAGTGCCTGGAAATGCTAGAGGTTCCTGTGCTGCCACTCTGTGCACCCTCAGAAGCCCAGCCGAGAGGGGTCAGGGAGAGGCTCTGGCTGGAAGGTGACTCTGGGAAGGGCTGGAGCACCCCGTCCCCACCGTGGCTTTATGGACTGCGGGCGGCGCTCAGAGATCGATTCAGAGTCACCTCGTGGGCTCTCACTGACTCAGCACGGCCTGGAATAGCTCCGTGCTGCCTGCCTGCCTCCCCCTGGCTCCCCTGAGCTCTTCCTTCCCCAACGGGATCCCTCCGAGGGCCAGGGGAGGCTCTGCCCCACCCACACGCCCCTCTCACATCCCACACTTCCAACACTACAGCCTGGCTTTGCCAGACTCTTAGCAAAACAACAGCTGGCTCCAGCGAGGATGTGGGCATGGGAGCTGCTCCAGGCTGAGCTGCACTGGGACAGCAGGCTGGGAAAGGAATCCTTCTCTGCTCCACACTGTGAGGCCACATCTGGGTGCTGTACCCAGTGCTGGGGTCCCCGGTACAGTGACAACGGGTACAACCCAAAATACGGGAATTTCTGTCAGGAATTTCTATTTAAATATTTTTTAAATTACACATTTTTGTTATGAACCTAGTCAAACACTGGATCAGGTCACCCACAGAGTCTCCAGCCTTGAGATATCTGAAACACAGTGGACATGGCCCTGAGCACCCTGCTTGAGTTCACCCTGCTTTCAGCTTGGTGCAGATTAGGTGATCTCCAGTGGGGATTTCAACCATTCCACAAGTTCTCACCAACACCTCACTCACACTCCCTGGAAGTGTCCAAGGCCAGGCTGGATTGGGCTTGGAGTAACCTGGTCTAGTGGAAGGTGTCCCTGCCCATGGCAGGAGTGGAGTGAGATGAGCTCCAAGACCCCTTCCCACCCAGCCCAGTCCATGATTCTGTGATTTGCTTTCACCACTAAAGTAATGACTCCTGTGGAGAAATCAGAGCTACCACCTCTTTTCCCTTAGAGAAAAGTAGTTCCAAGAATGGTAGTCCCAGAATGAGAAAGTTCAAAAGTGCTCTGCAGGCTCCTAGCAGGGAGCAGCTGCCATCCACCCTCTGCCCACACTTCACTTCCATCCAAAGCCACCCAAGCAGAGGCTGTTTCTGGATCCAGGACCCCTTTCACAGCCCGACAGCAGGACAGCTCTTCCCACCAGCTCTTCCCACGGGTGGAAGCAGCAGCTCACTGGTAATAGCAGCAAGGTGGGGGGAAATCAAATCCATAAATTAAAGGGGATATGATGTACCAGTGCCCTCTGCTGCTGACAGTTTTTATTCCCTGACTGAACAAAACCCCGAGGGCTCAGGAAGGCCACTCCAAACTCTTGCTGCCAAGTGGTAACAGCACAGCTCAGCTCCAGGTTTGTGTCTGTGCCAGCAGCTCAAGAGCAGGGAGCATATGACAAACTGCAGCACTTCCAGGCTCTCACAGCACTGGGAAGCAGGAGGGATTGGCTGGCTCCATGCAGGCAGTAAGGGATCACAGCCTGCACAACCCCTCACACCCCCCTGCAGCAACTGCCCCTCCAAAGAGATCCTCAGACACTGCCTTGTTGGAGGACTCACCTTGAACCTGGGCACTCAGCTTCTCCAGGTCCTGCTCTGTCATGTGGGAAAATCTGCAGTTGGACCCAAAATCACACTGTCCTGGAATGAAATAGTGACATTTGAAAATTCAGTTTCAAAATTCTCTAGATTAGATATTAAGAAATATTTCTTCACAGAATGGGTTGTAAAGCATTGGAATGGGCTGCCCAGAGAAGTGGTGCAGTCACCATCCCTGGAAGTGATCAAATAGTCTGTGGATGGGTCTGCAGACATGGTTTAATGATGAACATGGTGGTGCTGTACTGACATTTGGATTTAGTGATCAAAAAGATCTTTTCCCACTTTAATAATTCTGGGAAAAGCCAGAGTCCCACGAGAGCCACCCACAGGAGGTCCCTGTGCAAGCAAACACAGGCTCCATCACACCTGGATGCCAGACACAGGCCCAGCCCCTACCTCGAGTCCTGGGCTGGCTAGAGCCCAGGCACTTCTTTCCACCTTAGATCTCCTCACCTGTTTGCAGAAACTTCCGACAAGGTTTCTTGGTTTGCTCTTCCTGCAGGATAGCAGCAGCATCTGTGGAGACAAGGGATGAACCCAGGTAAAGATCCTGGGCACAGCAAAATCCCATCATGTCCAGTCCCAAACTGGTCAGGGAGCAGAAGGAAGCAGAGGGACACACAGGCAATGGTTTCACAGCCAGTTTAGCCCACTCCCACTGCACTCCTCAGGCTGGCACTAATACATCTGGAACTGTGTGCTGAGACAGGTCAGAGACACACACAAGGGTTTCATCTCTGAGACTGCCTGATTCAGCAGCATCACATGCTCAAATTGCTGGCACACAGAGTGTATAAACCATCAGTGCTGATTCATTTTCTCTTCCCACTCCCCCCCCTGACATCCATCACCTCCCCAGTCCCAGGAAGGGAGTGGTAGACAGCTGGGAGCACCCACCTCGGAATAGGTCGTACCAGACTCTCTTAGCCCGGAGATGCTGCACTCCATTGAGGTGTTTCTTCCTGTTGTGCAAGTTGTCCTGGAAGGACCTGTCACAGTAGTCACAGAAGTACCTTTTGCCCATCTCTCTTCTGGCAAAACAGCATCAGCATGTCCTGAGGTCATCAGGCAGCTCCTCGGTGCCCAGCCATGGGAATGGAGAATCCAGGATTTACAGTGCCTGCTCCCAAAGGAGGAGAACTCAAATCACTTAGGGTTGGCAGACAGAAAAAGAGGTGAGACCCAACAGTTTATATCCCTGTCCATCACAGACTGCTGGGGCAGGATCTGCTGCCTGTACATGGGAGAAAAGGCCTGATCTGCATTTATCTCTGTCACCCAAAACAACAACAGCTCTGCTGGAAGGATTCTCCTTTCCTGAGCTCAGAGCACAGAAAACAGAGAGCCACAGGCTCCAGGGAAGGTGCAGCACAAACCATCCAAGGTGCAAACAGGAGGAGCTGGAGGTCCTGGGGACCTTTGATCACAACCTCCATGAGCTGATACAAAAGAGGAAGGAAACTCCCCTGTGTCCATCTCTGCAAGATAAAGAAGAAACCCAGCAAAGCTCATTTTATCCTCAAAGATAAAACAGAAGCTGAACTCACCTGTCCTGCAGGTGGACAGCTGCATTACAAACACTGCAGGACATATTTCCAACAATCCACTGAGCCACCTGGTTTTTCCTAGACATCATGGATTGCTCTCCTCATCCCCCCCAGCCTATGGCACCAAGGTGTGTCTGCTCTGAGTACAGCACTAAGATCACAACAGAATTTGGGAGCTCGCACCTGTGCTGGGCCTGCCACTGTCAGTGCAGGTGAGATCAGCTTGTCCCCATTAGATGTCCCTGCTGGAGGTGCAACAAACACCCTGAAGGAGCTGCAAGCTCTCTATATCCCGAGGAATATAAAGGTACCTGATGAATGGCAAAGATGGATGGACTGGGAGATAAACTTCAAAAGCAATTCTCCAGGTTGTGACACTTTGACAGCTGAATGCATTTAAAAAGTGGCACAAAGACCAGCACAAGAAATAAAGATTTTATAAATAAAACGGGTCCAGAATCAATCACAGCCCCCTGGCTGATTCCCCTGGCTCAGCAGGAAGAGCAGAGCACCAGGCAACCCCTCAGAGCCTGGTGTGCCCAGCTCAGGCACGGCTGCCAAGCCTCCTGCCAGACATCCATCCCAGCAGGAGCACCAGCACCACACTCCCTTCCCTCCCCTGCTCCCAGAACTGCTGCTTCGAAATCAAACCCCTGGAAATCTCCCAGGCCTCTCACACCACAAGCTAAAGCAAAGCTGCACTCCACGGGAAGACCTTCTGAGATTTTTAAAATTAGATTGAAAACCTCCACACTGAAGGTAAAATGTTCAGCTATTCCAAGTGACCTGGAAATCTTGTGTTGAGGTTCCTTCCTGGGGGGGTGAGGGCTGGCCATGCTCCAGCTGTGTGTGCTGGGACCCCAAATCCCCCAGTGCCCTGGGTTGATCCCAACCCAGCTCTGCAGGACTTGAGGTCTGAAATCATCCTCCTCCAGCCCAAGAATCCAAACCCAAGTGCTGCTTAATGAGCACAGAGCCATAAATTCCCTCATCCTTTGCATCCCCGAGTTTTGCAGCCAGGTTTGTAGCACTGTGGTGAGGCTGCTGGAATTCAGGGGGAACAGTGCTTTTACATACTGAAAAATCTCTGCTCCACATGTTATTCCATAGTCTCCCAAAGTTCCTGGTGACATAAAAATCTCCCTGTCTCAGCTGCTGGCTCCTGCATTCCATCTCTGCAGAAGAGAATGCTGCAGACAGGGAAAACAAATGAGATTCTGCAGTGGTCCCACACAAGTTTCCAGAGATCTCCCAGGGAATTCTGCCTGCGGAAGCCCAGCAGCAGCCAGCCTTTGAAATCGTATTTCAAACTTTCTCTTTCATCACTCCAACAGCAATAATTGCAGAAGCTCCTTCCCCCTCCTCCCCCAACAACCAGGGCAGAAAGCTCCTACAGACTCCAGACAGCCAGATCCCACAGCCCACGGCTGCCTGCTCCTGAACTCTCCAAGCAATTCCCATTGCAGGGGACGGAGGGATTGTGAAAAGCAATTAGAGAGGTATCAGATTCTCCCTGAGACTTTCCCCTTCAGTGATTATACCCAACACTTATCCCCATCTTTTCAAGGATTCCACTGCATGGATGCCTTGCTGGGTTCTGCCAACTCTCCGCAACACCAGCACTTCCCAGCACTTTATGAGTCCAGAGGACTCAAAAGCTGCTTCTGAACAGCACCAACCTATTTCCATCTCCCCAAACGGCTCCAGCAGTAAACAAAGAGCATTATTCAGCTGAAAACAGAGATGGTTCCTAATTAAATCCATCTTAGTCATTATGAAATAAAGTAAATGTAGCTGTTCTATAAAGAACTGCCTCAGCCTGGCCGTTTCCTCTCAGCATCTCCAGCCCCTGATTTGCAACTGAACAGAGCACTCAGACCTGGGCCCACCGCAGCCGTAAATGCTTCCAGCCAGGCTTTGTGCCAGCTTAAAAGTCTTCCTGAATAAATGCTAATTAAAATTAAAAAAAAAACGAAAACAGCAATCCAGGGCTTTATGTCATATGAAAGTGTAACAGCAATGCTGTGCTGTCTCCTGGAGCCCTGCTGGGTGAGCAATACCCTGGTGTGAGGCACCTCGAAGGTGACAGAGAGGAGCTGGGGACAACTAGCCAAGATATCCTGGGCACCATCCCACATTTTCCCTGCTCCAGCTGCTGCCAGACCACTCCACGCTGCTCTGTGTCAGCTGCAGATTTTGTCTCTGCCTCTCGGGGTGTCTCACCGGGCAGAGGGAGGAAGGTGACCCCGGAGGGGCACAGACTCCTCTGTTCTGGGGGAAGCTGCTGCTCTCCACACCAGCCCCAGGAGGTGCTGCTGGGCCCTGACCTCAATTTCCTGCTTTCCCACGGCCCGGGCTCGGGGCCATTCCAGCCACTTCGGATACCCAGGCAGATGTGAATTAATTAAATCCAAGTGTCAGGCTTCTGATACTCAGCTGCCAATTTAAATGGGCTCAGATCTGCAGGGAGACTTGGAATGGCAGCAGAGTCTGCCAGCACCTTCCCAATGACAGAGGCACAGATCCTGCTTTCCATTCCACCCAGAGGAATCATGGAATAGTTACGCTGGAAGGGACATTAAAACTCATCCAGTGCCGCCCCTGCCAAGGCAGGGACTCCTCCCACTGTCCCAGGCTGCTCCAAGCCCTGTCCAGCCTGGCCTTGGGCACTGCCAGGGATCCGGGGGCAGCCACAGCTGCTCTGGGCACCCTGGGCCAGGGCCTGCCCACCCTCCCAGGGAACAATTCCTAATTCCCAATATCCCATCCATCCCTGCCCTCTGGCAGTGGGAAGCCATTGCCCCTCATCTGAGAATCACGGAATGGTTGGGTTGGAAGGGACCTTAAAGCTCATCTCATCCCAATCCCTGCCACAGGTAGGGACAGCTTCCACTGGGAATCCAGAGCTTGATTTGTGATCAACATCAACCTGACCACACACAAACCATCCTGGTAGCAGCAATTAATGGGCAGCTGGGGGGATTTGTATTAGATATCCAGAGCAGTTACATTTGAAAAATAAAAACTGAGTTTTTCTGAGCTCTGTGGTGACCAGGGTCAGAACGCAGGGAATGGCTGGAGCTGGGCCAGGGCAGGCAGGCTGAGCTCAGGGAAAGGTTCTTCCCCCAGAGGGTGCTGGCACTGCCCAGGCTCCCCAGGGAATGGGCACGGCCCCGAGGCTGCCAGAGCTCCAGGAGCCTTTGGACAGCGCTGCCAGGGATGGACAGGGTGGGGTTGTTGGGGGTCTGGGCAGGGACAGGGCTGGACTGGATGATCCCTGTGGGTTCCTTCCTAAATGAGGATATTCTCGGGTTCCAAAGGGATAACACTACACAGGAATGTGCCAAGCACCTTCCAGGCTTCCAGAACAAGCAAAGGTCTTGTCCTATTCCAGAAAACCCCCACAGATCCTCAGAGTCACTTCATGAGGGAAAAAAATATAAATAAATCAGGAGAAATTACTCTGCAGACAGACCTTGTGCTACTTCTGAGGGCGTGGGACAAACAAAACAACAAAGCAGTGTCACTTGAGGGCCTGCTCTGGAACTTCATGCAGATACTCATTTAACAACAGCCTTATGGGGAAACAGCCTCAGTGGTAGGATTTCCCTATCCTGTCCCTGTCTGTTCTGCTTTGCTAAATCCAAATTTACCTCTCTCCTATCTGTGCTAGAGTCACCCTGGGGATGCTCTGCCCTCACTGAGGTTAAAAAGTGACAAACATGAAGAGAGGGGCAGCAAATGGGAACATTCCCACTTATGTTGTGCCACATGGGGCCAGGTCCCACTTCTCCCGAGGCCTCTGGAGCAGCTCAGAGATCCCTGGCACAGGGTGCCCAGAGCAGCTGTGGCTGCCCCTGGATCCCTGGCAGTGCCCAAGGCCAGGCTGGACAGGGCTTGGAGCAGCCTGGGACAGTGGGAGGTGTCCCTGCCACGGCAGGGATGGCACTGGATGGGCTTCAGGGTGCCTTCCAACCCAAACCATTCCATGATTCATGAGCCCCACGCCTCTCTCCCACTCCCCCAACACTGACACCAACCACCTTTTGCAAGCCCCCCAAAAAAACCCCAAATCCCCTCCCACCCACCTTCCGGGGGTCAGCTGAGGGCCGTGACCGCAGCCTCCTTCCTGTCCCTGTCACCCCTGGCCGCACACCCGGGCAGGGCAGGGCAGGGCAGGGGTGTCTCTGCCCCCTCAGCCCTCCCGCCCCGCTGCTCCCCGGCCACAGCTCCGTCTGGGTCCCGCCCCAGCCACGGCCGGGCCGGTTTCACCGCACAAACCTGGGGCTGCCCAGCGGAGGCCGCTGAGGACAAGGCGGGAGGAACGGGATGAGCGGAGCCTCACGAAGACCCCTCACAGAGACCCCCGCTACCCCCACCATGCTCACCCACCTCTGGTCAGGCCCGCGCCGCAACCGCCTACAACTCCCACAACGCCCTGCGGCAAAAGCGCATGCGCATGTAACAAACGGCACAGACGCGGCCTACAACTTCCAGCATGCCCCACAGGCGCTTGGCACTCCGTACGAATCGCAGAGCACCGCCTACATCCCCCAGCAGCCCTTGCGGCGCGGCGCAGGCGCGGAGCGCGCAGGCAAGATGGTGCTGCTGCGGCAGTTGTACGGGTCGCTGTTCCGGCGCAGCTCCACGTTCGCTCTGTCGATCGTGCTGGGCGCGGTGCTCTTCGAGCGCGCCTTCGACCAGGGCGCGGACGCGCTCTTCGAGCAGCTCAACGAAGGGGTAAGGGCTGTGTAAGGCCCTGCCGGGGCCGCCCGGGCGCGGGCCCAGCGCTGAAGGTCAGGCCGGCCCCGCTGGGCCCCGGGCCTGCGGCTCGGCCCCCGGGCTCGCTCAGGGTCAGCGCGGCTCGGCCCTCCCGAGGGGGCTCCGCGGCTGTCGTGCCGCTCGCTGCTCGGGGCTTTGGGGTGTCCTTGGGCTTCTTTAGCGCTTGGAAAGGGCGTGCAAGGCAGGGGGGAGCGGGAGGAGGAAAAGGAGCTTCTTTTGTGCTCTGTAGGCCCCCGGCTTGGCCGATGTGGCCGTGGCGGAGGAAGGGGATGAGGGCTGGTGGCCTTGGGTGTCCCCAGCGTGACCCTTGAGTAAAAGGGGTCGAGTCGTCCTTCGGTTCTTAAGTACAGCAGTGACGGGATAATGACTGCAGGACACCGAGGCAGGCTTGGGGGAGACCCTAGAGCCCCGTTCAGGGCCTACAGAGGCTCCAGGAGGTGAGAAAATGACTTTGGACAAGAGCCTGAAGTGCCAGGACACAGGGAATGGCTTCCCACTGCCAGAGGGCAGGGATGGATGGGATATTGGGAATTAGGAATTGCTCCCTGGCAGGGGGGGCAGGCCCTGGCACAGGGTGCCCAGAGCAGCTGTGACTGCCCCTGGATCCCTGGCAGTGCCCAAGGCCAGGCTGGACAGGGCTTGGAGCAGCCTGAGACAGTGGAAGGTGTCCCTGCCATGGCAGGGGTGGCACTGGATGGGCTTTAAGGTCTGTTCCAACCCAGACCATGCCATGATTGTTCTGCGCATCCCTTATGTGCAGGAGCAGAAACTGCCCTCTCCAGTGTGGGTGGGAATTCAAGGCAGTGTCTCTGGGACACTAATCCAGAGCAGAACAGGGAAAGGGGAATCTCTGCAGCTTCCTCCCTGTCCACATTAGAATCTAGAAGCCTCCATGTGCATCCCTGTGTCCCCCAGATCCAGTACAGGACTCCATCACCACCTTCCCAGACAGGATAATTTGCATTTTGGATTCTGTTATCCCAACCCCACCGAGAAGCTGAGTAAAACATCTTGATATTTTTTCCTTCTTGTTTTGCATGCAGAAACTGTGGAAACACATCAAGCACAAGTATGAGAACTGAGCAGCTCAGCAGCAGGAGCCAGCCTAGGGTGGCAACTGGCACTGCAGGGATGGATTCAGCCTCCTGAAACTGGGAATGGATTCCTGATGGAACAACTCCGAGCCACCACTGATACCATGTGAAGCCAGATGGACTCAAGGAGTTCTGCTGCTGTACTGCACTTACTGTGTTCAAATAAAACTCCTGGTCCTCTCTTGTGTCTTTGTGTTCACCTCACTCATCCTTTGCCCTGTCTGTGCCTCCTCCTCCTCTGGGAGGTGGAGAATCTTTAAAAACAGCCCTGATCCTGAGTTCCAAGGCACTGTCAGGAATCACAACATCTTAAAATGGGTTTGAAAGCACTCAGACAGATGTGGTTCATGACAACCCTGTCATGAAGGGAAGGGTGAGAAGCTGTTTGCTTCCTCAAGTCTGTCCACGGAAAAGGGGCTTAGAATCATTCACAGGACCTTTTGGAGTTCAGCTTGGTGGAAGTTCCTGCCCTGGGGCCTTTCAGAGCTGCAGGTGCTGCTGCAGCCCTGCCCTAACAGAGGAGTGTGCTCTGCACTGCTGGGCTGAGAACGGGGAGCAGCTGTAGCTTGCAGAGGTGATGTGGATCCCTTTCCTGATTATTCCTGTACCACCTGGCTCCCCCGTGGCTGAAGGAGCAGAAGTGATGTCAGGTTTGTGTGTCACACCTCCCTCCATCCCCACTGACCCATGGGAAGGTGCTGGGAAAGAGGGATCATTCAGTTCCCCCCAGGGGCTGGCTCAGAGGAGTCATGGAATGGTTTGGATGGGAAAGGACCTTAAAGCTCATCCAGTTCCTCCACCCTGAGCAGAGTCATTCCCTTCTTGAAGAGCCCAGCCCTGCCTGGCCCTGTCAAACACTTCTTCCTGCATGGGAAGGGTATTTGGGCACTTCCTAGGGTAATGACAGTTAATTCCTCAGCTCTCAGGTGGCTGTAGGGAGATGTGGCTGAGTGACTCCTTCTCTTCCCACTTTCCCAGCCCAGCAGCCCCAGCTCCCCCTCCTCAGTCCATTTTCACTAATCAGGAGCAATTTCAGCCTAGGCTGAGGCAGAGCCCATCAGAGGCAGTGCTCACAGCAGCTTTGTTGGGTTTGCAAACGAGCACCAGGGGGGTAAAACATTTACTCTGAGAACACAATGAGCACTTAAACACGTGTGCTTGTTTTTGGAGCCAAACCCAACTACAGCTGTCCCAGTCCCAGCTGTGCTTTATGGAGATGGTTGAGAGAAAGGTTTAAGCTTTCCTGGGCCAATCCCATCCCAGTGAGTGCCAGCTCCCTGAGCTCTGCTGCTGCTCCACACCAGGCTGAGCAGCTCAGAGAGAGCTGCAGGCTCAGAGCAGCTGAACCAAAGCTGAATACAGGATGAGGGGACAGCACTGCAGTGGGCAGCAGGGAGGAGCTGAAGCCATCGGTGCAGAGCGCAGGAGCTGCAGGAGAGCAGCATTATCCCAGCAGGGGATTTTCCTGGATACAGCATTTGGGGATGCTGGTAGATCTATTCCTTTTTCCATGCCTGTCATTGGGAGGTTTGGGTAGCACTGATAGGTAAAGAAAAATCTCCTTGGAGCACTCAGGGCTTCCCCTCATTTCATGGCAGTGGCTGTTCTGCTGCATTTCTGCTTCTCTGCAAACTGCCCCACAGCAGCTCCAGTCACATTCCTGCCCTCTGCACAACACCAGGCACCAAGGTGTGGACCTGACTACCACCCTACTACCACTTTACCACCCCACTGCTCCTGCAGCACTGGGATTGCCCTGGAGCACAAACCAGTGCTGATTTTTCCACTGTGGGGGTGACAGCCACAGGCACTGCTGCAGTGCAAGAAAATACAGTGTGGTGGGGAGAGGGCACTCAGGGCACATTAACCAGTAATTTAACCAAGCAAAGCCTAACTGGATACCAGGAAGTTCATCAATACTGTCTGTAAAGGCCTAAAAAAACCAAGACATCTACATCTTTTATTTGTACCATCTGTTTTCACAGGCCTCACTTGAGGGACAGAAATCCATAAGGTCTGACTCACCTCAATCCCTGTGGGTCTGTTGGCAGTGGGAACAGCCTGAGCCTTTCTCTGCCAGCACAGAGCTGTGTTGGGTGAGGTTCAGGTGGAGATCAGGAAAGTTCTTCCCCCAGAGGGTGCTGGCACTGCCCAGGCTCCCCAGGGAATGGGCACGGCCCCGAGGCTGCCAGAGCTCCAGGAGCCTTTGGACAGCACTGCCAGGGATGGACAGGGTGGGGTTGTTGGGGGTCTGGGCAGGGACAGGAGTGGGACTCGTGATCCCTGTGGGTCCCTTCCAAGCTGGGACAATTTATAACTCAAGTTCAGGATAAGGCATTTCCATGGAAGCCGTGCTCTCGGAGCTGCCCACTCCAGGGTGGGCAGGAGGCAGTATGAAAATAAAACTCTGAATTATAAATAGTACAAAAGGGCAGGAATGGCTGCTGCAGCCTGTCCCATGTATTGGGTGCAGCCACTGGCACACACAGTCAGGGCAGCTCCTTCCCGGGAACGGGCAGCACTCCCACAGGGAATGCAGCTCCGTGTGAGCCCAGCTGCCCGGTATTGCACACAACATCCATCCCCTGAGCAAAGGGAACGCCGAGGAAAGGGAGCCTCCTCCTGGGCAGGGCCTGGGATGGTGCAGGCCCGGCCCGGGCTGCTCAGGAAGGGATCATGCCCTTGCTGCGCTTCCTGTCGGCCATGGCCCGGCGGTTGTGGTTGGCTCGGCTGCTTTTGTTCGCTTCTTTCTTCCTCCGCTCCTGCAGCGTCTCCCGGCTCTGCCCGTGGCCCTTGGCGTTCCCAACAACGGCAGAGCTGTCGTGCTTGTGCCTGGAGGACACAGAGCAAGGCCATCACAACAGGCACACTGCACTCCTGCGGGTGAAATCCCACATCCCCACAAACACCAGGATGTGAGGGGCTCAGCCTCAGGCCTCGCCTCATCCCAGGACTCCCACAGCAGCCCAGGAACAGCATCAGCCACACCACCACTGTCCTTCCACACACTGAGCCCATCAGCTGAAAACAGCTATGAAACTCCCAAAATCCCCGTGGGAGCTGTTGGAGCTCCGGGAGTTGTGCTCTCCAAGAGCCTGTCTTCCACAGGGTTCTGCTGCTTGGAGTGACACAAGGGGGAATGGCTTTTATGCTGAAATAGGGGAGATTTAGATTGGCTATTAGAGAGAATTGTTCCCTGGGAGGGGGGGCAGGCCCTGGCACAGGGTGCCCAGAGCAGCTGTGGCTGGCCCTGGATCCCTGGCAGTGCCCAAGGCCAGGTTGGACAGGGCTTGGAGCAGCCTGGGACAGTGGGAGGTGTCCCTGCCCATGGCAGGGGGTGGGACTGGATGGGCTTTAAGATCCC